CATTCATCAGTTTATTTTACCATCCTTTCAGGTTATATCTTTTTGTGTATCCTTCAGATATCTTCATCTTTCAAGTTCTCACGGCTCAAGCATATCCCGAATAATCTCTTCAGCTAATTCACATTGAATCTCCTCATATACTGGAATTATACGCTACCAGTCCTGCTTCTTCAGTCGTGCATTCCACAATTTTTATTCAATAATCCACAGTATACTCAAGTAGTTTACTACAGTGAATTCCGATAGGTTAGTATTATACGAATTTTGTTGTTTTCAGAAGCCTACAGATAGTTTCACACGTCGTGTACTTCATCTGCAATTGGCCTTGACTGTGCTCGTAGTCTGGGTCGGTATGCAGACGCTCTACTTATGGAACTTTCAATTCAATCGTCATTTCTGGATATCGCTGCGTACGGCACTTTTCACGTCGTTGACTATTCAGGTCGACATTCGAATCTTTTAGTTGATCTCTTCGTTTTGATGATCGGACAATTGGTCAGATACTGGGCAAGCTCTTACCTCCAAGTTTTGCTTTGGAACCACCCAAAAAGTAGCGATAATTGATGGAATTTTGAGTGAATTTCGATTGGAATGTGTAAAATGATCAATCACGTCTTCATTTGATCGCTGATGAAACTCGGATTTTTATGGTTTCATTATCCCAACATGATTTCAAGGATGTATGAGTTTTCCGTGCGTTTGGGGAACTAATTTCGTGACAGTTTGACATGTCATTCGCGTTTATTTTTCAGCCTTTATCCTAAGAATGCCTTTCTTTTCAGAGCTAAAACTTGTTTTTTCAGACTTCTTTTGCTAATGAATGCAAGTATTTCAGACGCCATTCTTCAACAATCTACCTGATACCGCAACTCTGATTCTACTTTTATCAGTGATCGTCACAATGCTCCTCTCAGAATTGGTCGTATTCTTGGTTGTATCGCTTCACTCGCGAGATTCAGGCAGCAGCAGCACCTCGGCTAAAGGCCATCGGCTTTCCACTGTGCTCATTGCGCCGCCGTCAGATAACGATTCATCGAGCAACAAGATTGTTAAGGATTGTGATAAATCCCCCTTAGACGTACCCAAATTCGATGTTATTGTCAGTGATAATGCATCATCAAATCAGCTGAATGTTCAAAAACTCTAACTTGATCTGTCAAATTTCAGTGTAATACTGTCGAAATCGTTTGCAGTAACTGTAAAGCTTATATGATCGTTAATCAACTCATCTTAACCAATCCAATCCAAAGTAAAGCTGATTCACAGTTGACAGCATCATTCTTTTAACAGTTCAAAGTCTCAACTTAACCTCGATGTAACTAATTAAGTTCAATTGAGTCAGATCGTCCATAATCCACATTCACAAAGTGCCAACCAAGTTCAGTGATTCAGTGATTCGCCCGGCTAGACAGGAATATCTCGTTGTTTGATTTGAATGCGATATTCCCAATTTGCATACGACTGTTTATCTCGTTTCCACTCACTAACAGATCAAATCAAGTCAACACGGTCCAATCAATGCTTGTTTCAAATGCAGAATAAGAGCATGCTGTTCAATTCATTGAGTGAACAAATTTCGAGACTCATCTGTCATTTTTCTTCAATATTTTTCATTGTAAAATCATTCCTTTCATTGTGTGTTTTATATGAATAATTGAATGCTAAAGAATAAACATTTCAAATCTTTTAAATACACTCCAAACTTATTCACAATTCTCAACTTATTCACCTTACTCTACTGCAGATTACTACTAAGGACGTTGAGTTAACCATGTCAAATAGAATGCAAAATCAACACCAAAGAACAACATCATTATTTATTTATTTCTCTTGCGAGGTGAAAATAATTAATGAATATATTTTCAAATTCATATAACAACAACCAAAAACAATTAACATCATCATTCACACAACGATAACATGACTTCAAATCATCTTGCAAATTGAAAATATTCCCGATCACATCCTGATTACAATCAGAATCGGTGTTATTAATATTAACCACCCTTCTTCTTCGACACACCAACAGTGCGTCCTTTACGTCCGGTTGTCTTGGTGTGTTGACCACGCACACGGAGACCCCAGTAATGCCTGAGACCTGGAATTCAATCGGTCTGGTTGCAATCTCAAAAATTTTTTACGATCCAAAGCCACAGATCTGGTTAAAACTTCAAAATCATTGTTAACAGCACCTCCGGCAGCGCATTAATGAAGCATAAAAATAATCCATGTGAACTACAAGAATAGAGGAAACCCAACAGATACCTCTATGAAGACGAATTTTCTTCAAACGTTCCAAATCCTCACGCAATTTGTTATCGAGTGTGGTGGACAGACACTAAAATCAATCGAAATTACATCAAAACCTATTTCTCTTCATGCACCATGCAATTCCATTGGAAAATCTTTCGATTCTATCCAAAAATCATCTACTCCGAACGAAATTCAACTTAAAATCATCTGAAAAACATACGTAAAGTAACTTATATCCAGGATATACCTTAATCTGAACGTAATAACTACTGGAAATAATGAAAGAACAGCAGTTAAAACATACGAAGAGCTACCGACCTGTGAATATTTTCCATCTTTGACGTCCTTTTGTCTGTTCAAGAACCAATTCGGCACTTTGTATTGTTTCGGATTTTGCATTACTTGTGTGAGGTTCTCCATATCCTCTTCGCTTAACTCACCGGCACGCTTATTCACGTCGATGTCGGCCTTCCGACAGACGACGAACGCAAAACGCCTTCCCACACCTTTGATGGCCGTTAACGCGAATGGAACCTTACGGTTACCATCAATATTCGTGTTCATCACACGGTGAATATGTTGAAACTTTTCCGGAATTACCAACGACATCTTTTTGTTGTTTTTGTGGAATTACCTCCTCTGAAAATTTTAATACGTTCGAGAATTGTTCAATGATGAAACTAGAACAAATGTGAGCGAAACTTCGGGTTAAATACGCAAAAACATAATGTGAAATGAAGAAAAAATAGTCGGATAATATTTTTTTAAAAAGAACTGAAGCATGAAATTAAGGCACGAAATAAGAAAACTTTCACAAAAATATGAAAAAAGTTGTGACGATTCAACGTTCACATGCTTCAAGAAGAAATTATGGCATTTCTTCCTAAAAAATAAGGTTCCAACAACTTTTTGCATGGA